TATGAACACCTATACAATATGAACACCTATACAAGTTGAACACCCGTACAATATGAACACCCGTACAATATGAACACCTGTATAATATGGACACCTGAACAATATGAACACTTGTACAATATGAACACCTGTATAATATGGACATCAGTATAATATGGACATCTGTACAATATGAACAACTGTACATTACAAAGACCTGTATAATAAGGACATCTGTTCAAATGACCAACTGTCCATTATGAACACCAGTATAATATGAACACCTGTACAATATGAACACCTGTATAATATGGACACTTGTACAATATGAACACCTGTACAATATGGACACCTGTATAATATGGACATCTGTATAATCTGGACATCTGTATAATCTGGACATCTGTACAAATGAACAACTGTACATTATGAATACCTGTATAATATAAACACCTGTATAATATGAACACCTGTATAATATGGACACTTGTACAATATGAACACCTGTACAATATGGACACCTGTATAATATGGACATCTGTATAATCTGGACATCTGTATAATCTGGACATCTGTACAAATGAACAACTGTACATTATGAATACCTGTATAATATAAACACCTGTATAATATGAACACCTATATAATATGGACACCTGTACAATATGGACAGCTATACATGTTGAACACCTGTACAATATGAACACCTGTACAATATGGACACCTGTACAATATGGACACCTATACAAGTTGAACACCTGTATAATATGGACACCTGAACAATATGAACACTTGTACAATATGAACACCAGTATAATATGGACATCTGTACAAATGAACAACTGTACATTATGAATACCTGTATAATATAAACACCTGTATAATATAAACACCTGTATAATATAAACACCTGTATAATATGAACACCTGTACAATATGAACACCTGTATAATATGGAAACCTGAACAATATGAACACTTGTACAATATCAACACTTGTACAATATCAACACCTGTATAATATGGACATCTGTATAATATGGACACCTGTACATTATGAGTACCTGTACGATATGAACACATGTATAATATGAACACCTGAACAATATGGACACCTGTATAATATGAACACTTGTATAAATTGTAAAGCAGTAAATGGATGCATGTATCATAAGAATGAAAAAAAAAGATTTATAATACATTGGTGATATACACCAGTGTAACTGTAAAACATTGTATTTTGAAAACACAAGACATGAATGTCACAGTCCCCATCATTTAATTATAAAATACTCATGTTAAAATAATACATAGAACATCTGCAAACAGGTGAATTAATATGTACTCTATGTGGGTACAACTCATCATAAAGTGATTTCCCTTAATCTGAAAACTGTCATTGACCCGAGTCCAAAATCTCAAGAGTACACAAGTGCAACCAAACTATGTCTTATATATGTATACATGCTCAAGAAACTGCATTCATAAATCTGAGTAAACCTTGATGTACCTTTAATAACAACTTGACTTCTTTGTTACTTTAGGTCTTTGTATATTACCAGGACTGGGTTTGTTTCAGTATCACCACTATAATTCCCATCAAAATGTAGCCCTGACCCCCCTCTTAAGTTTCCTCTGAGATTCTTAATGGTATGACCCATTTATCCACTAGCTATATTTAGACCACATTTGTCAATGTGCTTGGCCAAAATTTATAAACAGTAACTGCAAAGTGTTTTCACTGATCTTCAACTTTGTGACAAGGTATTTTAGTGATGGCTCTTTATAATGGAATGCAATTTTTACAGCTTAACATCATTTCTGACCACTTTTTTTTTCAAGATTTCAGCGTTAATTTTATCATACAAACAAAAAGCAGGCTGTGGTCCATTTCTGTCACTGATTCAGATCAAGGTCATGACATCATTGACAACCCTAGCATCTAATCTAATTATTTATTCTGAGCATGCTCAGTTGTTATCTCAGTGTTGTTGGAAGAGGTAATTTATGATGATTGAAAATGGTGAAAAAGACCCTCTTAGGATTTTCAGATCCAGAAAAAAATTACAAGCATATTCAACAGTGACTTGTTCATCAATCTGCCAAGTTTCATCGATATCTGCTGCAGAATTTCTGAGATGTAAAGGAAACTGGGTGGACGGAAAGCCTGAACTAAGACTAAAAAATTAATAATTACCTTCCTACAGCATTAGCTATTTTACCAGCACAGAATGAACCAAACAATCCACCAATAGAAAATATAGCAACAATGAAAGCCCATAGAAATTGGATTCTGTCTTCTGGCATAAACTTGACATTGTAACGACTTTTGTAAGTGTCATTAATAAATGTCTCAATTAGCTATAATAAAAAGAATGATGAAACCATGGTTACAAAACTATTGCTCCATGCAAGCATTCAATTATTAGTGTAACACATTTTGTTTGTATGCAAATTAGTAAACCTTCATGGTTGAATTGATAATCAAATTAGTAAACCCTGTAATTTTATGAATACACTTCATTAACATATGAATAAAACTGAGACAATCTCTTGTGAATCAAATCTGCGGCTCATGAAGCAGGTTTCGGCAATGACACTGAGACTCGCACCCATTCGGCTCTCAGCCAACACATTGGTCTCTGGTTTTGTTTCTTAGGATTCATTCATGAGAGAATGCAAATAATTCTGTATTCTGTATGCAAACGTGAATCATTCTGTATGCAAATGTGAATCATTCTGTATGCAAATGAGAATCATTCTGTATGCAAATGAGAATCATTCTGTATGCAAATGAGAATCATTCTGTATGCAAATGTCAATCATTCTGTATGCAAATGTTAATCATTCTGTATGCAAATGAGAATCATTCTGTATGCAAATGTGAATCATTCTGTATGCAGATGTAAATCATTCTGTATGCAAATGTGAATCATTCTGTATGTAAATGAGAATGATTCTGTGTGTGAATGTGATTCATTCTGAATGCAAATGAGAATCATTCTGTATGCAAATGTTAATCATTCTGTATGTAAATGTGATTCATTCTGAATACAAATGTGAATCATTCTGTATGCAAATGTAAATCATTCTGTATGCAAATGTAACTCATC